ATAGGTTAGGTATGGATATAGGTTAGGTATGGATATAGGTTAGGTATGGGTATAGGTTAGGTATTGATATAGGTTAGGTATGGATATAGGTTAGGTATGGGTATAGATTAGGTGTGGATATAGGTTAGGTATGGGTATAGGTTAGGTGTGGAAAAACGTACAAATTAAGGTTAAATCTACTAATTCACCAATTTTCAATCTTCTTTTTCAGATCATAACCTCAAATATGCTCAAATTTCTAACATCAATCACAATTTTGTTAACTATCCTGCATCATTCCCATCTGGCACCCTCAGAACCACCGACTTCTCATAATTCCATCAAAACCCTAGACTCAATATGCGAAAATAATGCACAACCTCCATTTTGTTGTGAAAATGGCGCCAAAAATGCAGATTGCTGTTTAAATGATGGATTTGGGAAATATTGTTGTCCGAATGGATCGGATAATGAACTTTGTTGTGAAAATTGGGAAGAAGATCCGACTTGTGGATGGGATTTAGTCGATTATGTAGTTTAAGTTTAAATAAATTATCATTGCGTTTTTTTGGAAGTTTTTTGTAAATTTTGTGATTTTTTTCTTCTTAATTTGAATGCAAATTAATTTAAGTTAAAGTAGCCACAAAGATTAACGGCCAATAAATTTTTGAAAAAAGCTTAAGTTTAAAAAAAAGCATTTTTTTTGTTCAGCAAAGTTATTTGAATTTTTAAAAACCGTTATAGAATTTAGATTTGAACTTGTCAAAAAGTTTGTATATGAGACATGATTTGAGAATCTATGAGATACCTTCATAAATTGGTCCATGAACGACGAGACAAGAAGCTTGCAGCAATTAAGAATCCAGAATAAAATGTACAAAATGTCCAAAACTATTTAAAAATAATTTTGTGATGTCCATTCATGAAGCTGCGTGCTCATCCAGATAAATTCTATCAATGTGATTTGTGTGGAAAATATTTAAAATCTTTTAGAGCTATTCGAATTCACATCGATTTTCATCTTAAGAGTTGTCCTTGATTAGTCTGCAGAATAACCAGCGGGGTAGTCAGGGGGGATTGAATTTTCAGAGAAATCCCTGGCTAGGTTGAAATCCCAAGTCTGCGAAACCAAAGATTTCTCTGTAAAATCCAGCCAATCTTCCCAGACTACACCACTGATGACAATAAACAGTCAAAACATTCAACTTTAAAATTTGATTACAAAAATAAAATGACGTCATTTGGAATCTCCTTTGACATTGAATCTCAATTTTTTTTTATTTTTCTCTCTTAAAACTGAATCTTTTTGTTTTTGAGAGTCAATCCCAAAAATTCAACATAATCTTATCTTTATTGCTTCCCTGATTACAGAAAGCAGGTCAACAAATGGATCCAGATAAGGAAGTACGGCTGGATCAGACGATGAAAAATGCCAGAGAGAATTTCATTGCTGGGACAGAAGCACAAGTTTGTTCCACCGCCCTTGGATGAAATCAGCAAGGGAAATGACGCACAGGAGCTTCAAAAGCTATTTGGAGCAGAACAGTGATGAATGTCAGCTTAATAGGCAAACAGAGAATTTGTTAAGGCCAGCAACAGAGTCAGAGAGAAAGCTTTTTGCTGCAATCTAAGCTCCACATAGGAACATGGTTACAGTAGTTAAGTAACAGCCGTTGACACAGCCTTTAATTTCGACACTGCAATGACATTTTTTGCGTTGTTTTTTTTCATGTGAAATTCGTAATTATTTACATAACAGCGATGCTCTTCATTAACATGCACTGATTATGTATCATTGGCCTTGAATTTAAACCTTTTAAGTGCTGAAATGCTCGACTTGTTTGACGAGATTTTCTTCATGGGGGTCGTTTACTTATTAAGTTTGCATTTTTGAGGGGGGGGGGGGGTTCAGGATTTTGTAACATTTGGGACTGAAAAGTCGTTTTTTTGCGTAACGTAATAAGTGAATGAACCTTATGCATATAAATATTCCCAAAATCCCCCCCCCCCCCTTCCTCTTGGCAACGCGCCTGCATGACACACCTTAGTTTTAAGATAATACCGAAAACCGCACATGTTTTACAACTCATGGAATTTTTTCGTGGCAAACTAGTGTTTCGCAGCACATGGGTTGGCCATCACTGTTCTTAACAGATTCACAGTTAATGTACAGCAGATGCTAGTATGAAGTTGATTATTATAAATTGTCAACAGTGACGTGGTGTTTGGGTAGAAATTAACCAAGCCTTTCACCAAAATTTGGGACAAATCGAAGAATTATTTTAGATTTTACAGAGTTTCCAAATTTATTAGATACACATTGACATAGCCAGGGGAGTCACTCACTATGCTTGACTCTAAAATATTATTTTTATAATTTATGATTAAAATCCAACAGCTAATAAATTAAAATTAAATTTTTGGATCCCCATTATCCTTCTAGCTCCACCCCTGTAGCTACGCCTCTGAATGTCAATATATTTATCTTACTTATTACTGCCCGGTTTTAGCACATCATTTATGTGCACGAAGAATCCGTTATGCTAATACAAGTTAATTGACTGACTACCTGATTTTATTACAATATAATAGATTGGTTTTTTTATGTAGCTACTTATCAGTGCTCGGTTCTTGAGTTTTTAATGAAGTAGCAGCACAAAGTCACTTAATTTTGTCGGTGGATGCACTATCTCGAATAGCACAAGTCAGTTAATCCAATAAAAATCTGGCACTAAGCTGGCGTAACTCTGACGTGGTTCTGGGTTCAATTTGAGATCAGCTACAGAGTTGATGCCGGTCGGCACAAATCTTTCTACATCAACAAAAATTTCTTTATTTATAAAAAAAATCCTAAAAATCTTCCTTTTCCCAATTTTTTTTTGTCCCCTCCCTTCAATAAAATTCCTGGCTATGCTCTTAAGGCCAGCTATTAAAATCTAAACTTTCTAAGCTTAATAATATTAAATTACAATTTTTATAGTTTTATCCTATAAAGCAGTAATTTTTTTATTGCAATAATTTACGCATCAAGTTCTGCATTTCTTTATGTATCCGTGGGAAAAAAATGAATAAAAAAACTCGTTTTAACAGTTCTTGTTCTTTTTTCCTCCTTTATATCGATATTCTGCATTAGAATACTTTTTTTAATCTTCAACACAATCAGAAGTGTAGCCAGGGAAGAGAGTCTAGCTATGATTATAACTCTCATAGCCATGTCTTACCTCTGTGACTCTCAGCTGTTGGAAATGATGTGAATTGAATTATCTTTAAATTGGTTTTTTTATTGGGCTTTATACTTGAAGACTTGAATAATTTTAGGATTCTTTGAATTGCCAAAAACTTAACTTAATTGTGTCTTGTCAAATTTATTTTAATAAAGCTTTAACTTCTCAGAAGTTGCAAAAATTTCTGTAGGATTTTCCTTAATTCTTATGAATTTTTAATTCATAGTAAAAGTTCTCCGTCATTTACGGCAAGCTCGTTTTATTCTTGAATTAATTAATTCTCAATCTTATGCATATCCATTCCACATTAAAAAGTATTTTTTTGCAACCGTTCTTGAAATTTACAGTTTTAATAAACTCATGTTTTATTAATCGTTGATAATATTCCTGACCTATTCCTAAATTATCCGTTAAACTATGAGAAAAAGTCGATTCAATCTACAGCTAAGCTATACTAAACTATGTATATAATTTGTGTAATAAGGTGAAGTCGGGGTCCTAAGGTATAGTCGGGAATTACAAGGTGAGGGGGGGGGGGGCAAGTTGGGGTTCTAAAATCGGTAATAGCCGGCACAGGGAATTCTGTTCCATGCAGTTTTGTTTCTATTTTTGAAACTATTCGATTGCCTTTAATTCCTGGGAATATTCCAATTCCCGAGCCCTAGCAAAATGCAGAACTTTCCTTTGACGAATTCGGATTTGACCCCCAAATCTTCCCAACATCTCCCCAATTATCTGTGACACAGACTTCATAACCTAAACAGCCCTTTTATAAGTTTACATTTAAATAGTTCTTATCAATAAAAATAATAAATAAGATCGATTCATCTCGGAAATTCCCAATAAACATTAAAAGTGGAAATTTTGAAAAAAAAGGGAATTACGAGCTGATTGCTTATCACATTCGGTCAGTTTATAATAGTCTGATTAAATCAAAATAGGAATCAAACTAAAATTGTAGAATCGTCATTTAATCTAGGTGCTTCACTTCCTTCTTAGAGATTCAAGTTGCAAGCTGCGTATTTTTTCTGTTACTTTTTAATGACCCGTTTCTCAGAATCAAAGTGTATTGAAAAAGTTTTATTTACATAAAAAGTAATTTTTATTGTTTTTGGGGAATACCAGCTTCAAAACTCGATCCATACGTATGAAGAACCTCGAGGGAATTTTTTATGAGTCTTCATGCATATTGAAAAATACTTGCTTACTTTTTCATGTTTTCGAATTCAATTAGCACTGATTTATACTAAGTTTAATCTTCGCTTTTGTATATGTTCTTCATCTGCAACTGGTTACTTTCTTATTTGTGTGTGTTTGTACTTTTCGACGACGTTGAATGTTTTGTCATCTACATAAATGCATACATTGACAAAAATCTCTCTGTTTATCATGTTTCATGCACAATATTAATGTTACTAGTATTGTTTCTCGTCAAACTTGATGGTAGGCCAAATTAGTCCAAAAAACGAAGATCCAGTGAACATCAAGACCAACTTAGTCCAATAAACTAAGATCCAGTGAACATTCAGCCATAGGACAGACATACAAAACTTAGGTCCAGTGAACATTAAGATCAACTTTGTCCAATAAACTAAGATCCAGTGAACATCAAGACCAACTTAGTCCAAAAAACTAAGATCCAGTGAACATTAAGACCAACTTAGTCCAATAAACAAAGATCCAGTGAATAATCAGCCATAGGACAGACAAACAAACTTTGAAATTATTATATTATCTGTGTTTTTCCAATACATTTCTCACTCAAAACTTGATTGTTGTAGTTTGTCTTGTTTCTTTTCTTGACTATCGCCGAGCATCAATTTTTACAAAGCAACGTTTGAGTATAAAAGTGCCGGTAAATTCACTCAATCGCTACAGTTTGATTCAAAGCTTGTTTGAGACACTTCAATTATTATTTTTTCATTAAAACTAAGTTTTACTTAATTATTTTATTATTAAACATGAAATTCTTCGTAGTACTTTTTGCCTTGATTGCTGCTGCCGTTGCCGCTCCACAATTCATTCCCGGTGTTGGATTCGGTGGTAGTGCTGCTAACGCTGCTGCTGGATCACAATCATTCAAGTAAGCATTAATAGATATTAACGGGTTGTTCATTTGTTAAATGAGGAAGAGCAAAATTTTATACCAGTGGTGCTCAACCTTTTCTGAGCCATGGTACAGTAAAAAGCTTATCAAGTGTAAATCTGGTGTCCAGTTAAGCATTTAAAGGCAGGTTTTGGTGACACAAAAGTGTGTCGTGGAACATAGATCGAGAAGCACTGCTTTTAAGGACTAAAAAATAATCTTTTTCATTAACTTCAATGCTTTAAATGTTTAAAAAATAAATAAACAAAAACAATGTCTATAAAAACAATAACAAAAGAAAAGATAGAGATTAAAAGCATCAGCCAAGTTTGATGACCCGAGAGTAGACAAACCTGATTTTTCTTATTATTGTTTTTATTTTTATAACAAACCAGAACATACATCTTCAATGTTAAGTTCAAGGAATTGCAAAGAATGTTCTCTGCAAATTCTTGCTTTGCATTCATTAATTTTACCTACCTTACTTATTAGCAGCTGGCTTCTCAGTGTTCAACAGCTCCTATAAAAGTAGCTTTGTCCTTAGTATAAACCTTAATCCAGTGGTGGCCAACCTTTTTAACACACTTGGTGGTAAACCATGACCAAACCACACACAACATGCGGTTCATGGGATATCCCAAACTCATTCCGAGTCTAGTGCAGTGGTTCTCAAACTGTGTACCGCGGCACACTAATTTTCCTGGAAAACATCCAGATGTGCCGCAAAAGTTTTTTTTGATAAAATTTGCAGTGCTTCAAAAAAGTTTGAGAATCTCTGGTCAAGTGTGCCGCGGCACATGGGTTAGCCATCACTGCTTTACTTGCTCTTAGCCTCAAAATATTCCAAAAATGTCAATTAGCATCTCTTTTTAATTAACAAAACATGCAAGAAGCTACAAAATACGTCGAAATTTCTCAATTCTTATTAATTCTTATTATTTCTCTCAACAGCTCTGGATTTGGTGGATTCGGAGGAAGTGCCAGTAATGCTGCAGCACAATCTCAATCATTCAATCAAGGTGGCTTTGGAGGTGGATTCGGTGGGTCAGCTGCTAATGCTGCTGCTAGCTCACAATCATTCAATCAAGGTGGATTCCCAGGAGGTTTCGGTGGTGGATTCTCAGGAAGTGCTGCAAACGCTGCTGCTGGAACACAATCATTCGGCGGTTAAATGAGTCAAACTAGCTTATTTTTAGATTTTATTTCGGTTTATAAATTACAGTATTGCTTTTGATATTGTATTTTTAATAAAAATTTAAAGTTTTTCTGCAAACTTAATTAAATTGTTTTAATTTTGGCATATAAATGATTAGGATGTCCATCGGATTTTGGTCAAAAAGCGGGACTAGTCTCGATTAGCTTTAAACTGTCCCGCTGAAAAAAAAAATTTAAGCTTTTAAGTTCAGACAGTAAATTCAACATAGATGGCGCAATAAAGAGTCACGAGCGTAAGTTTCTGACTAATCCAATAAGGGGTCGTTCATATATGACGTCCGAGATTTGGAGAGGGATCTAAGATTTTGTCACTATTAAGAACACAATTTAATTCAATTTAATTTTTTTATTTCATTTCCTAATTCAAATTTGTCAGTTTTAGACAAAGAACTAAAGTCCAAGTCCATTATTTACTTGTACTATTTTTCAAATGCACAACTCTAATGTGCTTCTCCAAGTTAGCTTTTGTTTTGGAATACATCGCACACAAGTCACATTGGAATAAAACTTTTGGATGGACAACAGCAATATGGCAACTCAAATGCTTTTTATCCTTAAACATGAACGAACATTTTGGACATTTTAAAGCATTTTTTCCAACTTTTTCATCCCATCGTGCATGAGATGCTTGATGTTGTTTGTAGTGTGCCTTGTTGTCACTTGAGTAGTTGCATCGATCGCATTTGTAAGCTTTGTCTCTGTTCTTGTCATGCGTTTTTAAATGCTTTTTGAAATTTCCTTTGTCAAAAAATCCTTTTTCACAAATTTCACATTTAAAGCTTCTCGGATTCTCATGGAACTGCTTAATATGAAACTTCAAATCTTGACCATTTCTAACTTTCTTGCCACAAATTTTACATTCAAACTGCTTGTCATGACTCCTCAAATGATTCTTAAGCACACTCGGCAATTTGAAGTTTTTTGGACAAAGATGACACTTGTACTTCCTCTTGTCTGAGTGGACTGCAATCATGTGATCCTTCATAGACAAAACTTTCTTTTCTTGACCGCAAATCTTGCATTTTACTTCCAATTGATGACTTCTCATGTGATTTTTTAAATTTCCTTTTTTTGTAAAAATTTTGCCATCAAAGTCGCACTCGTAAGTGTCAAATCGTCCAAATTTATGTATCCTTATGTGTGTGGCAAGTCCGTGTGCTGTTAAAAATTTGGAACTACAAGTACGGCATTGATGTAGCTTTATTGATGGTTTTGGTCTAGATTGATTAGATTTTGGCGCCAAAATTATTAAAAATTCTTTTTCCGGTTCAGTTTTGAAGTTTTTTGATTTTGGCTCAGATTTGATGTTTTTTGTACGTTTGTCAACTGGTTCTTCCTTAATTGTTGGATACTTAATTGAATGGATCTGACTTGACTCTTTATCAGCAGTTGGCTCAACTTTGATGACTTTTGGAACAAATTGTTGAATTTTGCTGTTCAAACTTGCTTGATTGTTTGATGACTTTAGTCCTTGAACATCGTCTAAATTGATTTCTAAGTCTACTTCCGCTTCGGTTTTGATTTGAGGAAGCTTTGTAACTTTTGGTGTGGCTTTGAAAAAGTCTGAAATCTTTTTTGACATCTTTTGTGATTCTTGAGCAGCTTGATGGTTGATTTTTCCAGATTTTGCAGTTTATAGACAGCTTTTTAATTGATTACACGATTATTGAAGTTGAATTGAATTGAAGTTTGCTGATTTGTTGGTACTTATGGACAGAACTCATTGAGAATTGGTTCCTAAAATCAGCAAACTTTCTTTAAGTTTGGGTTTATTTTGAGATTTTTGGAATTTTTGTTTATTGTTTAAACTTTTTAAAATTGAGATCTTTTTGACTGAAAGTCAGTTTAATTCCGCTTCCAAAAACACCAAAAGACGCACGTCCACAGCCATGCTTCTGTTAACATCAAATTAGTTCAAATCCTATGGATTGGCCCTTCAAATTGCAATTATGTCTCGTAAAGTGTTTCAACATCCGATAGTAAAATTTCAATTTGATTCATTTTTGACAAATCTTCGCCAAATGCTTTGTCCAGTAACTTTGTATCAAGTCGGATATCCTCATTTTTAATGTCCTGATCCAAAATTCTTGTGATTTTCTGGTCAGAATTATTTTTAATTTTTTCTTTTTTCGGTGATTCAACATTCAATCTACTAAATGCAACTTGTATCGGTTGAACAACTTGAACCTGCTTATTCCTGTAGCAAGTGCCACCCCAGCATACCAAATGCTCCACCAAAAACACAAAAAGTGCAGAATAAAGCACAAAAAAGCACATTTGGAAGCCAAAACCAAGATGACTTAAGTTAAGTATAATTTTGTCTGACTTTAGTTCCTCAAAATATGATTCCTTAGTGCCATATGTGAACTTTTTCAAATATTGATTGATAATCCCACCAGTCACTAGACTTTCAACAATCTCCTGAAGCCTTTCATTCCACAAATTTGGATACAAAAATCCAACTGCGTAGTATGATTTTGAAATTGAGTCAAGCATAAATGCTTTAATGTTTGGTATATTTAGATACATTGTGTTAAGTTTGTGCTCCAAGTCGCATGTGTAAATTACACCCTTGAATGAAGGATTCGTCAATTTGTACATGTAAAAGTCTAAAAGTTCATCTCTATCGACTTGAAAGATTTGAAGGCTAAAATGTCAAATTTAAAGTGTTTTTTTAAAATTAAGCTGATCAGTCAGAGGATGTGAATAGGTGTAGATCTCCTTATAACTGCCATATGTGTATGTAAAACAAGTCGTGTTCGAACCCACGACCTCAAAAGCTGGTTTCTTGGGATTTATTCACCCGAAAGGATTACAATGTGAAAATGACTGTCAATCAAGCGTTCTGAGTGGCATAAATGCGGCACCTCATCGGATTTCCCCAAATTCGGAGTTGTGTCGCGTTCATGCTATCCTGGACCCAAGATTGCCAGCCATTTTACCGCTGTGTGCCTTTCGGACTACTTCTAACCTTAAACTTCTCCCAAAAACATAAATCAACCCTTAAACAGACTCCAACTCTTCCTTTAAGACTAGATTGAACACCTATTTAAGGCAAGATAAGCAATTGCTATTCACACTTACCCAGTAGCATTGCGTATGAACTCAATCATTGATTCTGTATAATTATATTTATTGATGTAAACTGTAAAATTGTTGTTTCTCAATTCCTCAAGTGTATTAATCTTTGGACGTCTTACGGCTGTCGTCACGAGTTCAAACAATTTTCCTTGATATGCTGTTCTAACCACTAAGCACCAGAAAGTGTAAGATATCAGTAGAATCCTTAAAAAGTTTATCTTTGAAACTTTTGATTGCCCAACACCAAAAAATACTCGAAATGTGTTGAAAATTAGTTCTGATTTCGAAATTTTGACTAAAGATTTTCTCGCTTTTTGAAAGAATTTATAACTAATAAGATTTGCAGTAATTGATGTGATGAAAGTTAATGCTATGCCGACCCATGTCTCTTCATCGAATGGCAATACAAGTTTCTCGAATGATGTGTACAAATCTCCAGGTGGGAAGATAATTTGAGGACTAAATTGAGGAATCAGTTTAAATTAAATTAATGGATGATCCAGCATGATAAAAGCTAGTATAGAAGTTGCAGTTATAGAACCCGTCAAGCTTACACATTTAAATATTGCTGAGCGAAGCCTAAGTCATATTCAAGTAAAGTTCTAGTCATGTTCGAAAGCTTGCGTCAATGTCATTTTCTAGTCAAGTTCAAGTGAAGGTCACGTTCAAGTTCAAGTCTTTATCAGTTCTTATTCAAGTCAAGTTCAAGTCTTGATCAGGTCTTATTCAAGTCAAGTTCAAGTCTTGATCAGGTCTTATTCAAGTCAAGTTCGCCTTGATCAGGTCTTATTTAATTCAAGTCTTGATCAAGTCAAGTTCAAGTCTTAATCAAGTCAAGTTCAAGTATTGATTAAGTCAATTTCAAGTTTTTGATCAGGTCTTATTCAAGTCAAGTTAAAGTCTTCAAGTTCCAGAGCTTGCGTCAATGTTAAGTCAACTTCAAGTCTTTATCAGGTCTTATTCAAGTCAAGTTCAAGTTTTGATCAGGTCTTTTTCAAGTAAAGTTCAAGTTTTGATCAAGTCAAGTTAAAGTCATCAAGTTCCAGAGCTTGCGTCAATGTTAAGTCAAGTTCCAGTCTTGATCAGGTTTTATTCAAGTCAAGTTCAAGTCTTGATAGGGTCTTATTCAAGTCAAGTTCAAGTCTTGATCAGGTCTTATTCAAGTCAAGCTCAAGTCTTGATCAGGTCTTATTCAAGTCAAGTTCAAATCTTGATTAAGTCAAGTTCAAATCTGACCAAGTCAAGTTCAAGTCTTGATTAGGTCTAATTCAAGTAAAGTTCAAGTATTGATTCAAGTCAAGTTCAAGTCTTGATCAGGTTTTATTCAAGTAAAGTTCAAGTATTGATCAAGTCAAGTTTAAGTCTTGATCAGGTCTTATTCAAGTCAAGTTCAAATCTTGGTCAAGTCAAGTTCAAATCTTGATCAAGTCAAGTTCAAGTCTTGATCCAGAGCTTATGTCAATGCAATGTTCAAGTCATGATTGAGTCATGACTAAGTCACGTTTAAGTCAAATTGAAGTTAAGTTCCAAAGCGTATGAATGTAATGTTAAAGTCAAGTTTAAGTCAAGTTGAATTCAAGTTGAAGTTATGTTCCAAAGCATGTGTCACCAGAAATTAACTTCAAAACTCACGTGCACTGAATATTCAGCATAACATTTCGCCATTTAAAATCTCGATCACTATGCATAGCATATCCATCAAGTGTTGGATTGCTGAATATATTGTACAAATATAGATCTTGATGTATTCGTTCTGAACAATCCACAGTTAAGCAAAGAGTTATGAATGGTTTAAAATTAAGAATCTTTGATATTGTTATTAAAACTTCATGCAGGACTCCATAAATCAATGACTTTTGTTCACTTTCGTAGTAATAATATCGTAATAAATTAGATAATCCGTGAGTTCCGAGGACCATTGTACAGTTATAGAAGTTCTTGTATTTCTTTATAAAAATTGGATTTTTCGTCCATTTTAATTGCTTAA